CAAAAAAAAAAAAAAAAAGACCCAACTGAAACATCACTTCTGTAAATCCAACTTCCTGGGCAGGGTGAAGCCCCTCCCACTGCTGCTTCTCCCCCAGAGCAAACCATACCTCTTGAAAAGAAGGTCTCCTAAGAGGACCGGTTTACATGCCTTTACCTATACCTAAATTGACTGTTTCAGGTGTACAGATTAACTTATTCATCCTTACTATGCTCTTTAGGCCCGGCACAGAACTGTTCAATAAATGCTTTTGAGCTGAGTTCAATCAACTTGGCCAAAACTCACCCCAAGAAGATCTTACCACCAGGGCCCTCTCAACCCCAAGAAGATCTTACCACCAGGTCAGTAACAGTGTAGGCATTGGGCGGGGCTGTCTCGCCCACTCGATGATGGGACACAGGTCCCACACGGAGGACACCCTCCTCTTTGAACACCCAGCGGGAGAGGGCCACAGCTAGCTCGTAGTTGCCTGTCTGGGAATACCTGCAGGAGTGAAACAGAAGCAGCTAGGGCACCAGCGCCACCTTTCCGGCGGCATCTGGTGGCCAAGATCACTCATGTCCACAAGATAGTTCTGCCTATGGGCTGCATGTACCTGGGACCTCGGGTTAGAGGGAACACAGGAAAAAATGAAAAGACATGGGTGGTGGTGGTCTGGGTTTCAGCTGCACAATAAATACACAACTTTCTAAAAGAAACAGTGGAGGTTAGACAAATCATTGCTACCTTAAAAAGGTGAGAGTGCCAACACCAGCAATATAGCATCAAAGTCAAGTCCTAAAATAACCGACAGCACCTGACACAGCCTCTGACACATTCGCTAGAAGGCTCTTTTCTCCCCATCTGAGCCATATACACACCATTCCACACAGACACAAGCCCCAGAGCCTCCTGGCAGCTACCTCTGGGAGCCGGGTATGGCCTTCTGCACTGCTGAGTTGAAGAAGGCATCACTGAAGAAGTCAAGGGAGCCGCTGAAGATGACCCGGGCATTGTTCCTGGCCTGGAGCCCAGCAATCAGGAGGGTGTTCTTCCCCACCGCATGGGGATACTGAGAACAAAATGAGGCTGTCACCCAAGCAGTTCCAAGTAAAGGAAAAGCTGCCAGGCCTCCAGAGCAAGAGGACAGAGAGTCAGACCTAAACCACCTTCACGCCCATCCACGGGAGAAGCCTGCTTCTGATCCCTTCTGTCCCTATTCCTACCAACATGTCAAGTCCTCTGCCTCGGCAAAGTGTGCTTTCCCGCTCCATTCTTATTTCCAGTAAGAAAGTGTTCTGCTGCTGGGCCAAGAGCTGGAGGCCTGGAGGCTGCAAGGCCCTTACCTGGGTGATAGGTTTGTCTGGGAAGAAGGAGTAAGAGGTAGAAGAGCCTGTCAGGATGTCCAACACCAAAGGATTGTCGGGATCAGCCACCATCCTGCAGAAGGAGCAGAGAGCAGCCCAACAATTACCCAAGCACCAAGCCCAAAGGTCATGGGATCCCCCAGGACCAGTTCTCCCAGGAATGAATCCTTCTTTCTTAACAGCCACACAGCTCTCGTCTTGCTGTAACAACGGAGTCTGACTCTTGGTATGCCTCCCCCGCTCACTCACCCGACACCTCGAAAGAGGATGGGGTTTAGAGATGACTTGCCAACGATGGTCGGAGCCTTCAGCAGGTCCTCAGTGTCAGCCACGATGAGCGTGTGCTGCGAGGAGAAGACGGAAGAATGAGGGGGCAGAGAGAGGTTCCCCGCACTGGGGAGCCCCTTCTCACTCCGCTCCTGGTTTCCAGGCTAAGCCGAGCTCTGCTGTGCACGCCTAAAACCTGGACGGTGATGGGCCTGATTACCTGGCCAAGGTCGGAGATGTCATAGTTGTGATGGTCAATGACAGCTGTTTTCTCCTCATCAAACTCAATCCCACACTCACTGCCCAGCTCTCGAAGAGGGTCACCTGCAGAGACCCAAGAGATGCCGGTTGAGCCCTTCCATGGGGCTTTGGGCCAAATGTCCTGGCTTCCTCACAGCTCCCTCTCTGCTGGGCAGCCTGAGTGCCCTGTGGGTTCATCTGCTGGGTGCAGCCCCCAGTGGACCCCTGGACAAGAGTACAGTATCCTGCCTCCAGGGGTCAGAGTCTGCACTGGTAAAATAGTTCCCTCACTGACTCCCTGGCCAAGGCCCACCCAGCAAATACCCATTTGGCAGCCTCTGTGTGTAAAGCACTCCAAGTTCCCTGGTGAGATGGTGGAACACGTCCCAGGTCAGAGACTCACCAATGTCCGAGCTAGCAGCTACCAGGACGCTGCCTCCACCATCAATAAAGGCACTGATGGTCTCCACATTGATGTTGCCTCCAAAATCTGAAAGAAGGCACCAGACAAGTGACCCAGAGGTCTCTCACTGCTCCTCTGACACATGTGGGGAGGGAAGCAGTGAAGTGCAGACCAGCCATGATCCATCATGGAGCTGCTCCCTCTGGAGGTGGGAATGAGAGGGAGGTTTACCAGGCGACAGCAGGCAAGTCACTCTCTAGCATGAAGACTCAAATAACAGCTGTTTTATTAACTTTTAAAGGTTTAGATGAAACAACAGTCAAACAGCTACTACTCACATTTGTCAAGTTAGTTGTACACATTTCAAGTCACACATGAAATATTCATTTGTCAGCCGGGCTCGGTGGCTCAGCCTGTAATCCCGCGCCTTTGGGAGGCTGAGGTGAGTAGATTGCCTGAGTCCGCGGGTTCAAGACCCGCCTGGGCAGCGAGACCTCATCTCTACAATAAATCAAAAAATCAGCTGAGCGTGGTAGCGCATGCCTGTAATTCCGGCTACTCGGAAGGCTGAGGCGGAAGGATCGCCGGAGCCCAGCAGGTCGAGGCTGCGGTGGCCGGGAGCGGCCACTGCACTCCAGTCTGGGCAACAGAGTGAGACTCCAACTCAAAAAAAAAAAAAAAAAGGAATATTCATCTGTCAATGCTGCATTATCCACACATTTCATGAAACAATGCAATTCACACTGCTAGCCTGAACTTTTCACACCAGTATCCCTGATCGCCGGAGCCATGTCTGAGGCCACCCACCCCAGTTTTCCAGAGCCTGTCAATTCCACTTCATTTAACCTTTCACACCAGTATCTCT